TATCTTGGTGAGAATATAGGGAAAGATAGTCTCATATCTGCTGATGAGTCTGTATATTGGTATATTCTCTATGGAGGGCAATTTGGCAATACTCATCAAAATAAAAAATATAGACTCCTTCACCGACTCTAAGTCCAGTTCTAAAAGTATAGGCTAAAAAATATCTGTAGTATATGTGTAAAATAAAAAATATACAAGATTACTCATTGCAGCATTTTTTTCCTAACAGTAAAAAGAAAAACTGAAAATAGCTGAAATGTTCATCAATAAGGGACTAATAAAACAAATTATGATTTGGACAAATTAAACAGAATGTAAGACAGAGTAGTGATCCCAAAATAGGTAATAAACACAATGGGCTCAACAGTATGTATTTCAAAGAGGGAAGGGGAATAATAAATATTTGTTTGGACAGGCAAAGACTGTATCTACCTGTTTCTGGAAGGTATTCCAAGGAGAGGATAACACAGGATTTTTTTAGCAAGGGGAACTTATAGCTAAAGCACAGTGGTGGAAAGGGACTTTTACTTATAGCATTTGGAACCTTGCAAATTTTGATCCAGGTGCATGAATTACCTAGTCATACAAAATTAATTTTAAAATTCACCTAGTGTAGAAAGAAGTGAACAGCTAACTGTGTTTGTAAATTATGTCTCATATGGATGGTTATAGCTGAGGATACTTAATAACAACTTGAGTGTTGGAATGAGTGTTTTTATTATTTCTATTGCCAAGTGAAATTAACAAAATTATAGGAAATGAACTCCTTAATGATAATACAATCTATTTTTTTAATAGCAAAACGACAATTTCCTCTGGAAGAAAAACAGTGTCTTATTTTAGAACTGGCACGCTTAACTAAGGAGACCTAAATTCTAATACTATCTTTATGAATTACTAGGAATGTGACCTGGGAAATGTCATTTATGCTCTCTGGTTAAGAAATGTGATGTGACATTGTAACAAAACATTTTTAATTAGTAATAAGAAATAAGAATAAATCATAGAATCTAATGATTGAAAGAGACATTAAGGTTATCTATTTTAATGATCTAAAAAGAATTAATCAAACAAATATACAGAATTTATTTAAAAATGCAGGGATAGTATCAAACATAAAATATGTTCTCAATATTAATCAAATAAATGCAAATTTAAAGTATATACTATTATAATTATTATTTTCCAATTAAAATGAATAAAAATAAAAAAATATATATACTATTTTCTATTTATCACTTTCTTGAAGATGAAAAATATTACTCTAGATACTATTCATTAAAGAAGGCATTCTCTTTCACTGTTGGTGATAATATCTGCTTTAATCTCTTT